TGCCACGAACGGCCTTCAAGAAGAAATTAAATTCGTTAACTGATGATTCAATATCTATCTATTTATCTCTCTCTCTCTCTCTCTCTCTCTATATATATATATATATATATATATATATATATAGGGGGCGATGGACAAATTGTCGTCTAATTTACGAAAAATTACACAGAAATATCTTGACATACTAAAGAGTAAATATATTCAATAAAATCGCCATTGGCTTCAACCAAGGCCACCAGACGACTTCGGAATCTCCTCCAACTCTTCTAGACGTTCTCCTTGTTTAAGTTGGTGAATACTGCCATAATACTTTCCTTCAGTTCATCTTTGGTTTTACAAAGAGTTTTGTTGGTCTCTTGCTCAACTGCGCCCCACACATAATCAAGAGGGTTATAGTTTGGGGATTAAGTGGACAGATATAAAGGGTGACGTGGTCGCAGAAATTGTCTGTCAGCCATGAATGGGCTCTCCTGCATGTGTGGTATGGTGCAAAGTTGCCAGACATAGAGTCTTCCAGTAACCACCCAATTGACCCTTGCCAGCACTAACTTCTGAAGGCACTTGATGCAGCCCTCCGTGTTGAGTCTGATGCCCTGTAAGAAGATGAATGGACACATGACGTTGCCATCATTAGTGATAACTCTAAACACCTTCATAATAATCATTAGGCTCATCCAACTTTTTCTGAATCCTCTGCACTGTCCTCAGATTCACATTCAAATATTCTGAAATGTTTGTATTGGAGCTTCCGGTGCGAATGCCAAGCAGTATAGCATGTCGTCTGCAAATTTCTGGCGGTGTCAATTGCGTCATGGTGCTCTATTTCTCACAGAGGGTACCAAAGTGACCATAATATACAGTGCAGTGGATAAAATCAAAAACAAACAATGCGCATGCACGAAATTAAAAATATAATTTACCCATCGCACCCTCTCTCACTCTCTCTCTCTCCACACACACACACACACATATATATATATATATATATGTATAAGATACCCCCCATATTAAAATTTTAAGATTTATGAAACTGATGTTATGTTCACGAGCAAATTCACAATTGTAATAATTCAACAACAAAGAATTTCTCTTACAACATAAATTTTTTTAAATCAGCGTTTGTGACTTTGCGCATGACCTGAATTGTTAACGGTTTAACACCAAAAACAAAAATTATTTTCGGACAAACACAATTATTTGTCTTAGCCATCAAAACCCTGATGATGATACTGGAAAAAATATCGAAAGTACTCCGAAAAAATAAAAATGAATAAATATAACCACAGTAACTGTCTTGCTGTTTTTAATCAGGAAACAAGAAAGTTTATACGTGATTAGGAAAGAATTTTATTGAAAATAAATAAACGTAACATGTCTAAATTGTTTAATCAAACATGTTTAAATATACCGAGTATGACAACTGTCCATCCTACATAATTTTTAATATTTGAAATAACTAATAAACTAAATGATTTTTTGTCCATCTTAACACCATTTGTCGAAAGAATCATTGAAAAATCCTTGGGGATATTCAGTTAGAAAGAGAATAGGTTAAAATCCTTTTATGCCAGCCCCGCTATCTTCCCAACTGAGCAGTGGTGAGTGGAAAAAGATCATTCAGGCCTTCAGTAATGGTATCAACATTCATAATCTGGCTTCCATCTTCAAAGTCCATTCAAGAACTATCACGAGAACAGCGAATAAGTTTACTTAGAGCTAAAGAGATCAAATATAAAAGACCCAACTCAATCCCTTTGATGTTTGGCACGTGAGAAAGGAGTTTCAGCTATGATAGTTGAAAGCGCAGCGAAAAACATCTTGAAAGGAAATTGTACGTGAAACTTGTAAGGCAACGTGTAACTCCAGGGCAGAAATTTAGAAGGTTAGAGAGGGCGAAGATCATCTTGAATAAGTTGGAAAATGATCCTGTAATAATATATATATATATATATATATATATATATATATGAACCCTATTTAAATCCTTCACGAGCTTCAGATTCTTAGCTATAATTAATTAATGATGAACATGTCATTTTCGTTCATGATCGATTTCATCACGTTTCTTCTGTTAAGCTTGGAGAGAAATTATACATTCTTGTTGCCTCAAAGAAGAGTCCAATTGTGTTACAGAAACATTGGAGAATTCCAGTAAGATGTCTTTAATCATTTTTAAGATACAACAGTTCAAAGCTTAATCTGACAATTGAACAATTTTGCTGTTACACGGTTTGAACAATTTTGCTGTTACACCCGGTATATATAAATATAAACTTTTGCAGGATGAAGCAGTATATATTATATTAATATTTTTTTAAAAACCAAACTTGATTTCTTTTCATTTTAGGAGATTTAAGTAAATGTCTATGTAAATAGCTCTTATGGAATCAGATTTCACTGTGCATAAATTTATTTAAAAATGGCACCATATGGAGAAAAGATCTTTCCTCCTCTTTATAAGGAACGTGCTATCTATTTCTTCAAAATAGGCAAGAAATAAAAATAAATTAGGAATATACTGCGAAAACGGTACCCTGAAGGTACTCTAATGGAAATATGCAAAACCGACAGTTCTGGAAAATGGTGACGATATTAACATTTAATAACCTCAGTTTAGTACGTCGTAAATTAAAATAAGGATACGAATTAGAACGATCACATTTCCTCTCCTTCTTGATAATCAATTTTTAAAAATCAGCTTTTACCTTGGCTCAAACATCGACCTCTGGCACTAAAATATTATTCGCAACTATTTTGGTTAGTGGGTCATTCGTTGATATTGCTTGTTCTTCAGTGAGATTTGAATATATTGTTGCTAAGGTTAAAACGGATGACAGGCTTCGTTTAGATGCTAAATCCATTTAGGGGATCATGACTCTCCACAACTTCTAGTTATTTTTTGTCGTAAGTTTTAACTCTTTACCATCCATCCTGTTCTTCATTTCATTTACACAAAGTAGGTTACACACGTTTTCCCTTGTTAAATTCTCTAAGCCTTCTTTTCGTATTATGTACTCCATAAATTCCAGCTATCTCTTTCTGAATGTAAATATAATCATGTTGCTCCTATTTTCCTTATGACTTCCTCATTGCTCACATGTTCTGTCCATGTTATTCTTCTTAGAATTCGTCGGTAGAACAACGTCTTCTGTGGCTTCACGTGTCTTCTTCATCTGGAAGGAGATTGTCCAGGATTTAATCCCATATATGCGATTAGACATGGAATACCAATTCAGCTCTTTTTTTTGTTTCTAGCGAAATTTTCATATGTTCTCATACTTGGCTTAGTTTCTGGAAGGTAATTTTCGCCGTTCCAATGAAAATGCGACCCTATTTGGGAAGGATGTTACAATAATCAAGAACTTTATACAAACCACCTGCATACAGATAGAGTAAAGTTAAACAAAAATAGAAAGTAGTGTAAAACAAGGATGTGTCTTCCTACCTGATTTATTTAAACACTCAAGCGAGGCCATCCCAAGGTAACTGGAGACTCGACCAGGATTTATTATCGATGGGCATAATCTTAACAATGTAAGATAAGCAGATGACTCTGTGTTGATGACAGACACAGGAGGAAAACTGCAAGAACCCCGAAACAAATTAGCAAAAGTAAGCGAGAAGAAAGGACTAACCCTTAACTGCAAAAAGACAAAATGTATGATTGTCAGAAAAAAAAAAAAAAAAAAAAAGCCCAAGATGGGAAATGCAAATTGAAAATATCAATATCAAGAACAGGATTTTAAATATCTGGGAAGTGTTTTAACAGAGGAGGAATATGTGATTCCGAAATCCGAACGCGCATTGAAATAGCAAAATATGTTTTCAAAAAGCTAAGCAATGAATTAAGAAACAGGAAAAATTAGTTAGAAACATAGAAAAAAGATCTGAACTGTTATTTAATATAAATTCTGCTATATGTCAGTGTTGTATCGTCGAGGTGAATGATGCACAAAGAAGAATAAGTGATTAATATATTTATTCAGCACCAACGGATACATATAAAAAACAGAACAATAAGTTACAAAACAATTAACAAGACAACTTACAAGGAAAAGAGTACTGTTTAAGTCTTTAATCGTAGACTATTTAAGGCTATGAGCCTGGCCATCTGGTAGAGTGCTGAAGGGGTGTTAGATACTTTACAACAGACAGTGAATGCGAGATAATCTTCTTACAGATTAAGTAAAACTTGGAGGCAACAGTAATGTGCTTCTACAGAATGGTGAGACCATCCATGGATAGAACACGCAAGAAACGAAGACGTCTTCAGTCAATTGGAAACAGAAAGGATACCTACATTAAGATTCAGAAAGACAACTGAAATTTCTTGGACTCATTAATGAGAAAGGAGGGTTTTGTGAATTTGACACTCAAGGGAAATATCGAAGGAAAAACGAACAAGGGAAAGCAATTGGCCACATACCTGAACGTGAGATGGAAGGCTTGGCAAAATGATAAACGTTGTTATGTGATACATGGGATAGGAGGACGTGGATAGCTCACGTCATGAAGAGATACGGCAGATAGTAGTAGTAGTAGTAGTAGTAGTAGTAGAAGAAGAAGAAGAAGAAAAAGAAGAAGAAGAAGAAGAAGAAGAATTATCTAACGGATTTGCCTTTGAGTGTTACTACATTACACATGTAAGATTTTGTACTTGGTTGACACTTGGTTTTTCTTTAGTTTACTGCTGATATTTCGAAGATCGATACTGTCAATAACCGATACATGATATAAGTCCCAGTTTAAGGATTTTGAACATTTTATATCAAAGTCCCCGAAGTCCTACATAGAAACATAACAATTTGAGATAAATTTAAAAGAAAATGATAGGTAGATAATATAACTCATCACTAGGGATTAGATTAACTTATTTTGTAGAATAGATTTGGACGTTCGCCTTGGCGAAAACTGGATTATAAATTCAGTATTGATTTTATTATCAGTAATATTATTGTAATAATTACTGACAATACATTTTCGCCAGATGTCGATTCCGTTTCAGTTTTCCAAGGAATGACTCCGCCTGTTATGTCATATGCTTTAATTCTAATAAAATTGAATTAACACGGAAAAATTAAGTAAACGAAAGAAATTCTTGAAAAATTTTGAAAATAAAAATAAAAGTAGAAGCGAACAACAGAGAATAATAATAATAATAATAATAATAATAATAATAATAATAAGAAGAAGAAGAAGAAGAAGAAGAAGAAGAAGAAGAAGAAAAAGAAGAAGAAGAAGAATAAGAATAATAAGAATAATAAGAATAATTAATAATAATAATAATAATAATAATAATAATAATCTTGAAATAGAAATCTCGAAAATGTGGCATATGGGAACATCAACAATCCCTGTTGTAGTTGGAGCCCTAGGACTGGTTGGAAAAGATTGCAGTAGACTAATTGAAGGGATTTCTGGAAGTCCATACCTCAAGGAGATACAAAAAATTGTTCTGACAAGTACAGTCCACACTTTACGAAAGGCTTTATCTATGTAATTTCTTTTTTTTTTTGTCATTGGAAAGTGTCATGCTGCCATTTCTAACCTTAGGTCCCTGGGCGTGACCCGGAAAGAAATGTGTAAACGCCAGAAATCAAAGAAAATAATCTAAATTCTTTTTTTAAATCGCGCTCTTCCCTAAGTGTTTTTAATGAAAATAATAATACATGGCTTAAAATCTAAGTATAACATTGATCAGTTAAAGAAAAAAACCTTTCACCGCGTGCCTTACAGCTAGGATCCTGAAAGTTTTAAAGGTCTTTAAAATATCCCCAATAGTAATTCATTGTTTTACCACAATATGTAAATGGAGCATACTAACCTCACAATAGCGCGAAATAGTTAACGCTCACAAACAGCTCATCCTGGGTCTGACGATAAAATGCATCTGGCAGCAAGGCCTCTGATTGGGAAATTTGAAGTTTTGAGGAGCGTGGAACCAACTATGAATTATTGTTGTTCCCAGGTCCACCATGAGCCGGAGTGGTAGCACCTGTTCGGGTAACAACAATGTGCAAATAACGAACCGCTAAACAAAAAGCAACAGTACATTTTTATAATAAAATGACCCACAGTGCATTTTTATAGCAAAATGACAATCAATGCAACACTAAAAAGTATTAAAATTTCTATAGTAAAATTATCAACAATGCAGTTTATCATCTACAAAATATATATCTCAAAAATATACCTTTATCTGAAAGTATAAAATTATATACAAAATATCTGTTGTTGAAAACATAAAATTATGTGCAAAATAATATTTAGATTTCGACATTAAATAACCCATAGAGATGTTTATATACCGCCAAACAAAATCAAACAAGCAACATGAAAGAACTCGTTCATGACATTGGTTCATATAATGTGCAACAATTTCTTAAATCAGACTGTATTACATATTATATCTTCAAAACTATGCCATAAAACACACATATCACCGCCTCTCATAATCATGCCCACATAAACATGCATATGCACAAAAGCTGAGTATTATCTACCATGTATTCAATTGTGAAAGTAGAATGACGCATATCATATTTTTATTACTTCAAAGCTCTCAAGAAAATTGAAATTCGGCATTAAATGTCCCATAAAGCATTGACACGCCGTTAAATAAATCACTCAATCAAAAACGGCATATTGAAAACGAAAATCTTGAACATGACCTTTGGGATCTTTCATGTCGTCTTCCTTCCTTACTTTTGTTCTTCATTCTATTGAACTTATTAAAAATGGATATGGGTATAACATCTCTGAATAAATATATAAATACCCCCATTTACAAGAAAGACTGGAATTGAGATGTTAAAAATGATAATGATTTAGAGCAGTGATTTTCAACCGCCGTGCCACGGCACACTAGTGTGCCGCGCGATCATCTCAAGTGTGCCGCGAAATATTGTCACAGCATACATATATATGTGTCTGTGCAATCTGTGCAAGCAGAAATGGTATAGCGTTAGTATATGAATAAATGAATAAGTATTAAACATTTTTTCAAATAATTCTTTTCACTATTCTTCGATTATTCTATTTTAAAACTTTGTTTTAATATTCATTTTTAAAAAGTATTTTTTTATTTTTTAAGAGGTCAAAATAAAACATTCAATGGCATCCATTGATACATTTTGGATTTCAATAGAAAAGGAATATCCCACATTAGTTAAAAACGGCTTTATCAGTTTTATTGCAGTTTTCTACTTATTTATGTGAATGAGGCTTCTCAGTGCTAAATAACATCAAAAATAAGAAGCGAGAAAGACTACGCTCAACTGAAGAAGAAATGAGTGTTTGCTTATTGTATATTCGACCAAACATTGAAGAAATCACAAAAAAAAAAACACCAGGTACAGGTTACACACTAAATAAGCTGCACAAATAGTTGAATAGAAACATTAAAATAAAGTAAGTTCATTTTTGTGCGTGTATTTTTTCATAACATTTAAATATGTATCCTTTAAAAAATTTGCTAAGTGTGCTGTGATATTTTCATTT